CATCCACCATCTGTCTCTGTCCATCCATCTATCCATCCGCCTATCTATCTAACCATCCATCAATCTGTCTATCTGTCCATCTATCCTCCATCTGTCTATCTATACATCTGTCCATCCATCCATATGTCCATCCATCCATCCATCCATCCAGTCTTCTTACAGCCATGTAATATCTACAACATTACTATAAAAAGATCCAGAGTTTAAGTCTTGGGTAAACATTTATCAGTCTCGAGGCACTCCAGAAGGAATATGTGTCCAACAGTACTTCAAATCAACTGTTTGCACGAGTGCCCACTGAATGATCCTGATTTGTTTTATCTCAATCACGTCTAACACAAAGCTCTTTTATCTCTCTTTAGCTTTGATTAAAGAAAAAAAATGGTTAGCAGTTGTTGTAACAAGGGCTTTAAATTCAAGGGCCTCTCAAGGCGCTGTGGCCGGCTGCCACAGAAACCAGTTTCACTGTTTGGGTTTAGCATTCCTTCTATTTCCATGGTGACAGCATCCAACCGAACATCTGAGCCATTTATTGCTCTACTCGTTATGGTGTGTTTTAATGAGGAGGATTAAACAGCACAATGATACAGCTTTGGGTTTAGCTCTCATGTCAGCATGGACATGATACAACTAGTAATTAGAGGGTAAGCACTTGATTTTCTTGTGTAACTGCAATTATAAGCAGCTGTTATCAAGTTATGCATGCCTCAAACACGTATCATCCATATTAATCTTACTCAAAAATATTTACATTTTATTTTACAGACTTTTTCATCAGCAGCAGTCACATACAGTCACAGCTTCCATGACTGGACAACATGAGGAGATCCTTTTAGTCTGGTAGATAAAGAAATGGGTTCAGCCGAAGAAGAGGAATAAAATCACACGGTATGATTTCAGGCTGTTAGCCACGTGTGCACCCAGACAAGCTCTAAAAGTTAAAGTTTCACTGTGACCTGCAAAACTAAACTTTCTTTAGAATCTGTGTTAAAGCGATGCTATTTTTCTTCCTCTATCATGTCTGCCTGGAGACTTACTGCCTGCAGCTTTTACATATACAAAAAAGCATCAAACATAAATAGCTACAGGCAAGGCATCTCAAAATTGTTGTACTGCAGGCAGAACAAATGGGACAACCTCAGAGATGATCCATGGAACATAAGGGGACATCATGCACTGTTTTTCATAGTTTTAAAGAAAGTGCCATGACTCTAATCAGTACATTCACACTGATATTAGATAACATGAAAGTACTTTTTTTATTAGTGCAACTGTTTTTGTGGTTTTCAATCCTCTGTCATTGTTTGGTTCCAGCCTTATTAGTTTGTGTTAAATTACACCGTTAGCACCTGCGTATATGTGTGAGTGTAGCCTTTGTTCATCACAGTGCTCTTCTTTGTGTTCCAGTGCCTGCTTTACATTTATTGGACTGTCCTGGTCCTGCCTTGGGGTTTGAGACTTTCTGCCTTTTCCTGTAAGTTTCAGTCAGTTTCTTCATTAGAGCTTGCTTGAGTATCTTTCGTTTTTTCTTCTTATTTTAGAAACCACCTGCCCCCCTTGTGTCTGCACTTCTGACCTCTTGAGTAAAGGAAACCAGGGAGGTGTTGTCCTATAAGCGCTGACCTAGGAACTCTCGACCTCACCAGATTAAGGACTTGCTTTACACTCCTCATTACCTCCTTTGTTTTGGGAGAAAGTCTACAGAATTGTTTATTGTGTGTGTGCAGAAAGGTCCACGGCGTCTGCACAACAGCCGTCGTGAGCTTGGCGATTTGAACAGCCCATACTGTCTTAGCAGGAAGTCATTTGAAATTCAGTAGATCGATTTGTGGGGAATCAACTCAAATTTTACTCATCCTAAAACTGAGTTAGCTGCAGTACCAGGTGGCTTTTGGACCCTGTTCTTGTCTTGTTCTATCTCTCTCTACGTTGTTCCACATTACTGGTTACCTTCTCTCTTTTAATCATTTCGGCTGTGTTTGCTGCCAGTGTTCTTCCCTATGTTTCCTGTTTTTGCCTTCTTTGTCTCTTACTAAACTCCCGTTGCTATCAAAGTTATTAAAGCCTAACAATCTTTCTTTCTTTCTTTCTTTTTGCATCAAACTTGTCTGCCTCTTTTGTGTTTATATTGCACAGGCTGGAGTCTATAAACACAGTCCTGCTGATATGAACAGAGATTTTACAATAATATTCACACACCCTTAAAGAGCACAATCAGGCTCAGAGACTATTGAGGCTCAGAAGAGCGCAATTAGGCTCCACTTGGCGCAATCTTTTTAAAATCAGCAATCATTTATCTGTCATTGGCAGAGGTCAATCAGTTTCACAGCCAGCCAGCAGGACTCTCCAGGAGCAGCTTATACATGTCTAGACTTGGACCGGGGGGGGGTATGATGGAGATCGAGCATATTCTCTGACCACGTCTGTATCATTACAACAAATGTTGATATGTTATAGACTCTGAAACAATCATTCTGACAGTTATTTCTGTTATATTAAAAATGTTATATTGGTAGTATAATTGGAGCGCATTGAAATGGCAACAGGTGGTTCCCATTTCACTCTTTATTCAGCTCACTGTATTCAGTCTATATCCTGAGGCCGAGTTCAGAGTATTCAGAGCCATTTGTGTCTGTTTGAGACACAGCTCCAGCCAACTGCACATCCCCTCCCACAGCATGTAAGGCTCTTTCATATGCAAATAGCTCCCAGGGGTCTTTGTGTGGACCTATCTGCAGGCCCTTAAATGGCACATGCGTGGCACCTGACATCTCCTGATGCACGTTGCTGGTGTATGCATCTGTTTGTTTCGGCGGTGATAAGAATGCTGCTATTTGGTGTTTTGGACAGGAGCAGAGACAAATAGCATCCTCTTTTGTCCCCCTCCCCAAACCCACCCCCAGTCTTCCCACCCCGTTCATGGGTCACTATGCTACCCCCCATTGTTAGATCTCTTTTAGTCATCTTTAGCTTTTCAATCCTTAGAAAATGTGCAGAGATTAGTGTAGTCAGTGATGTCACCGCTCAGTCTTGTAATTAAAATTCTTAGCATGGTCCGGTTGAAATGCAAGCCCACCAATAAACTCAGATTCAACACAGCTTTCTAAAAGTACGATTATAACCATGCAGGTTTTCTTGCTGGTTTCTGAGAATGCATTCTAAAAGAATAAATACTAGGATGTAATATTTTATCAGCAGTGTCTGAAACTCACTCTGGTTTCATACTGGACAAGTGCAGAAATCAGGTGCTTGAATATATCGTGACAATAAACTAAACCTCGAGGTAACTAAAACTCAACTCTGACACTAATTGTCTGAAAAGGAGCCACTTACCGTCTGTCGCAACCACTGATGAGATGAGCAGTGTGCATGAAAGGAACGCAAAATGACGAAAGCGAATTAAATCCATGACAGGAAACCATCCTGTGCGCAAGTCTAGCCATACGCTGCGCTCTTACTGCAGATTGCTCCGTTTCTGCCTCGCAGTAGCGCCGTTGTCAACTCCAGATCCACTTGATGCACACTTCTCTTGCTGGAGCACCACCAAGAGCTCCCATAGCGCAGGAATAATAAAGGCGGCGTGCTGTTCACCGGGGCACAGGCTGGGCTGCACACAGAGCAGTGACAGATCACCACATGGGAGGGCGGTCTCATTAGAGGAAAATAACTTTTCATAAATAACACAATGAATTATAAATATCACAATAGAAATATTCTATTAAATTAAGACCAGTTCCTGAGCCATTAATGAATCAAATGACGAGCCAACGACTTCACATTTTACTTATTTATTTAAAGTTTAATATATATTGATATGTTATAGACTATCAATATATATTATTGATAGTATAGCTTAATATAGAGCGTTGAGCTATATACGTGGTGCGATTATTTCATGATAAATGATCAATTAAATCAAACTGTTCTTAAAACACAGAAAATCAAAAATAAACTCGGAAATATTTTTTAATCTTTACATTTTTGATGCTGAGGCGTCAATAAACGTAGAAACATCCCCAAATAAATAAAAGTATTTCTGTTTATTTCACTTCAAACTACAAACGCCCATCCTCCTGAATGAACGCGTTCCCAAGGCAACGCAAACAGGAAGTTGAGGAAGCTCTGAGGGGAGCGAAGAAGACAGCTGTGTTAAACGGACACAAGTGACCGCTCGCTTTTCCGTGTCTCGTCTCCGAGATGTTAGAGTAACGTCCCCGCCGTGACTCCACGATGTCCGCATCAACGGGGGCCAGTTCAGTGCCGAGTTTGTCGACGCCGGAGCGGACACCGGACACCGCAGGTGACGCTAATGGGCACACTGCCGGTGAACGGGATTAGCTTATCGTGACAGTAGCTACTGCCCACGTAACACCGTCATGAATAAGAAACAACACGCTGTCTGTTCGAGCGGGTCCAAGAAAGCGAAACCCTCCGCATGAACTTGGAGTTTCTACATTCAGATCTTTGCATTGAACATTAGTAGGATCAGTCACACACAGTGTTGGTCAAGTTACTTCAAAACAGTAATTAGTTACTAATTACTGATTACTTATTTTCAAGAGTAATTAGTTACTTTATCTCTTAGCTACTATTTAAAAACATGAGACACAACCCGGATACGTCATGAAGCATAAACCTTTCAGCTCCATCTTCTAAAACGGAATCAGATGAAAAAGCTTATTTTTAAAAGCAAAATGAAATAATAAAATATTAATATATTTATTTTATAAATATAATAATATAATATAATAATAATACGCGACAGTCTTTGACATGAAGAAATTTCATTAGCATTTAAACCTATTCCCTGCATATTCCAGCACATAAAATAAAATAATGTTTTGTGTTTACACTCTTTCAAATAGATGCAAGTAAAACAGCCAAAATAAATCAAATCACAGATCCAGCAGCACTGAGTCCTGTCAGGTGGAGGTTTGTCCACAGCGACATGTCAGTGGGAGGATCCGGGGTTTCTCGTGAATGTCACGTTCCCGTGGCAGCGTGCTCGCTGCTCGCTCAGATTTGAAGTTTAATTTTTCGCAGTAGAAAGAAGTTTTCTTCCCAGCAGAGTGCACAGCGGACACTAATGTGTTTGTCACTTTTTACAGCATCAAACTTAAAGTAATGTGATTACTTTCATGCTTTAAACGCTGCATGCTTGTACTCTCTCTGCACGCCATATTATCCATTGTTGATCTGCACACGGACGTCGCTGCCACGAACGTCGCACGCTCGTACGTCGTCATGAGACGCTCACAAACAACATCATGGTTTAGTAACGCAGCGTGCTTACAGGAAAGTAACAGTAATCTAATTACTTTTTGCAACAGTAATCCCTTACTTTACTAGTTGCTTGAAAAAGTAATCAGATTACGTGTTACTGTCCATCTCTGGTCGCACACAATCCCTTCGTCTTGGAGCTGTCTGCAGGCCAGCACCACCGTTTGTAATAATAAATAAAAGTCAGTACTTTTATTCATGCTTTATTTTTTTAACCTTTAGTGTGACTAACATGTTACACCAACACAAACGATGGTGCTAAGGTTTGTGATACTTTATATTTTACTTTATTTTATTTTATTACTGGTGTCATTATTGTGCAGTGAAGAGAGACAGGACCCAAAACCGCAGGAATACAAACTAACACAAGCTAAACAGGGAGGAAACAAGTATAAAGAAACTAAAGACCTGACACACGGAACATGGGAAATGTCACAGATGATATGCCGACGATGCGGCAACAAACAGAGGAAGACGAAGGGCTTAAATACGCAGAGAGATAATGTGGGAATGAGACACAGGAGGAGACACAGCAAACGAGACTGTCAAAGTAAAACAGGAAGCAGGACGCACTCACAAAGACACGGACTTGACTGACTGGGGAGACACGGGGAACATGGAGCACAAGAAGAGCACAGAAACCAAGACACTGAAAATGATCAATAATAATGAAATCAAAGACTAATAATTCAACACTGGGTCACAGACTCAGGACCAGTTATGTTGCCTAAAGGCTCGTCTCTCCCAGTATAACTATAACAGTGCAGATGTGCACAACATTTAATGCATTTATTACCAAGTTTCATAAAATTCAACTTGTTCGTTTGTTGCAAATTCTGTCTGCCGACATTAAATAAATGGCTCTGATCACACACTGCAGGATTAAAGTGCAGGTAGCTGATACGTACTGTGGCTTCAGTCACTCCTTGCTTCTTTATATTTTGCTACCAAAGAGCCAGACTTTCTTGTAATTATTTAAGGTAGAATTGAGCGATAGTTCTCCAACTTTTTGAAGGTCTTTACTGGAAGGGTGGATGTCAACAAATGGCTGAGGCCAAAATAGTGGAGTGAAAATCAGTGGAGAAGATCTAAAGGAGTGTTTTGTGTGTTTTTTTGTGTCTTTTATTTCCTAGTTTAATCTGCTTATACTTCTAACTTTATTTAGTGCTTCTAGTTTTGCTTGTCTGAGTATTTGGTCCTGTCCCTGTTTGGTCTTGTCTTACCCCTGTGTGTGTTTCCTCCCCAGCATTTCCTGCTTTGTCTTCATGTTTGTCTAGTTGCCTGTTTTCTGCAGTCATGTCTGTGTGTGTGTGTTTGTGTGTTCCCATTACTTCCTGTTTTACTTTGGTAGTCTCCTGTCTGTGTACACCATGTTCTGTTTTGCTTCTCTTACTTTGAAGGCACCCCGTCTCCTGTGTTAGTCCCAGCTGTGTTTCCTGTTCCTGTCTTCTTCTGTCCAGCGTTGCGTTTTTCTGCTTTTCCTAGCGTTCAGCAATAAAGCTGTTTTCGAGTCTGCATTTTGGCTCCTTCCTCCTGCCTGCAGCACACAGGACATGACAGTTTTGTGAATTCAGATTTGAAACTTTTTATTCAAAGCTTCATCAGTATGTACAGAGGAGGTCAGGGGAGATGCACAGCAGTGTCTACATCCATCTGTAAAACACGGTGGAGCTCGTGGTGATGGTGCAGTGGCTGAATCGTCGGTCTTGTCGACGCTGATGGAGTTATCTATGCAACAACGTACTGTCAGAGTTTGATCCACTGTGTAACGCAGTGTGGATCTGATTGGCAACAGCTTCGTTTTTCAGCATGACAGTGATTCTGTGTATTTTTGCACA